CTTAAACCTACGGCATCCTCAGAAAAGCCAGAGGACCACACGCTGGACACCAACATCAGTGTCTGTTACAGCGGAAAGAGGAGCAGGGAGGTGGGAAGAAAGGAGACGAGGAAGGAGGTGTGTGCCCTTGTCAGAAGTCCAAACCACTGAACTAGCTCGGGGTAGACTTAAACAACCCTCCCCCTTCCTCTTCCAGAAGTAGCCTGTGTTGGGTCTTTTTTATGGCAATGGAAAGCAGGCTGCCAACTGTCTGTACTGTACTTTTAACACAGGGAAACCTCTGACACATTAACAGAAGGGTATGCCAAGACACTAATTTCTGGCCCTGCATATCACTTTGCACTGTAACACCATACCCTCCATCAGGGGCTGTGGGGTCTGCCCCAGCCCTATACCTCAGGAGGCCCCATACTTTACAGTGCTTCCCTTGAGGGTCTTAGTGTCCCTGCTGCGGCTGGAATATGTATGGTTCCCTGCAAAACCTCAGGCTAAGACTGGCCCCCAAAGTAACTGTGTCTAGTGGAGGCCCCAGGGTCAGAGGCAGGGCCTCCTGAATGCATCAGTGTTCTTGCTGTGCGAGTTAACTCCTGCTCTCCTGAAATCAGCTTCCTTAACACAAGAGCGGGCTGTCAAATAAGTGAGCGGTGCACACTCCTGCTCAAGTCTGTTTGCACACACCCACGCTCCCTTCACCTCCTAGCAGGAGTTGAAGTTGACTATGACAAACTTTCTACGATACAGCCTGAGAGCAGGGATACGATCCACCATGATGGGAAAACGGGACTTCGTTACAGACCAGGTCAACACACGAACTGCCAAAGAAAAGAAAGACCTGAGATGTAGCTTGTCCTACCTAGACAACCAAGGAAGGTGACATAAGGATCCACCATGATATCAGCAAACTCATGATATCAACGAACTCACTTCAAGGGCAAAACCCCACAAAGACAAAGATATTTCAAAGAAATTCAAGTTCTGTGTTTGGGTTTGGGGGGAAAGTCTACCAAATAAATGGGGGAAGTCTTTACGGGATAAGAGTGGATGCTGGCGGGGGGCGGGTGCTAGGGTGCCACAAACTCAGAAGAAGTTGATGGTATGATTTAAAGACACAACGTTGTGGGAGAGGAAAACCCCAGTGCTGGGTGCACAGGGCTGACCACATGAGGAAGGAGGCACAAGGAGGACCAAATCTACAAATGACAGGGGGATGGCTCAAGAGCCTTGGACGTTTAGCCCAAAGAGGAGAAGCGGCCCTCCCTTTCAGACATGATGCCCAGCGGGAGGAGCTGACTTCAGGCCAGGTGCTGGGCCGCTAAATCCCCTCTTGGGTCTTTTCCAGAGTCTACTCGCTGCATTTTCCCCAGCCTGCTACTCTAGTCCTGGGCATTTGTCTGTGACCTTCGTGACCTTCCTAACGTCAGACACCTGGCAGTAGGGTCCCCAGAGAGCGGTGAAACTCAAAACCTCTCCTTATTCACAGTGAAGCCACATTCAAGGTCTATAATACAATGGTTAGGAAAAGCACAGAACGCTTCTTTCCTTCTGTTTCTTACTAAAATTGAAATGTTCCTGATGGTGACTGAGACTTTACTGTCTGCCGGACACTCGACCAGGCTAATCAACATTTAATCTGTGCCTCAAGAGAATGATGCAGACGCTGTGTTTTTTTTTTTCCCCAAGCCTCCTTTTAATAAGCACAGAGTACTATTTCTTTGTATGAGTGTTTAAAAATATGCATAAAGTAACCTAGTGAAAATAGTCTTCAAAAGGAGAGAAATACACAGCCAGAAAAGGTACTCCTTGCCGGGCAGTGGTGGCGCACGCCTTTAATCCCAGCACTCAGGAGGCAGAGCCAGGCGGATCTCTGTGAGTTCGAGGCCAGCCTGGGCTACCAAGTGAGCTCCAGGAAAGGCGCAAAGCTACGCAGAGAAACCCTGTCTCGAAAAACCAAAAAAAAAAAAAAAAAAAAAAAAAAAAAGGTACTCCTCTGCTCAGGTCCATCTTTCCTTCCCTCCTCTACATGTCCAGCTGCACACGACTTCCTGCTCCATCAAGCGGCCACCTCTCTTGTCCTGCCTGGTAGCTACGCTCCCTAGGCATTTGGTACAGGGAAACCCATGTTGGGATGTTTCCTGTGAGTGGCTGGGTTGTCTGGAACTGTGGCATCCTCTAGGAATCCATGACTGAAAGCCAGGGAGGAAACTGGACTTGGTGAGTGGCTGGTGGTGTCTCTGACATCCAGTCGGAGGAGAGAGCTCTAATTAACATTGTTAAGGGCAGGAGCTGCAGCCACACTCTGCAGACACATAACACTCCTTCTATATCAACTGCTCCAACATGCTCCCTCACCCTCATCCCACTCTGCACACAAAACCCCCTTTCTACTTCTGTGAGTAACATGAATCTCTTCTCCGGGGCGGATGTGCTGGAATCTGGGCAACCGGGTGGAATCAGCGGCACACAGGCTCTGCAAATAGCGTGCCCTGAATTGAGCCCTGGGGCTGAAATAACCTACAAATTATTCCCATAATCACGGCTGATCTCCCTCGCTTTAACCTCACCCCTGCACACACAGGTTTCTTTCAAATTCGGCCCCTCTGGAGTTATGTGGATTACAATAAGTAGACGGCAGAAAATGCCTTCATGGGTCCCAAACAACAGTAATTTCCTCTGAAAAGGTTCATTTTGTCCTTTATCCCACATAAGTAGCATAAAAAAGTTCCCTATAACAAGAAGACAGAGGTTTCCATGAATACGGTCTTATGTGGCTACAAAAAGCATTTTACAGAATGTGACTTACTGGGTATATTCCACTAGCAATTATGGCCACGCAAGTCCTTTCAACATGAATTCACACCAGAGGTGTGTCCGGAAAATGACAGCAGGTCTCCCTTCCTGTCGATCAGATTATCACCTGACGTGTGTGGGGAGGCAAGATGACCCAACCCAGGCTACGCTGGCCTAAGTTCCCAAGGAACGGCTTAACTGTTAAGGCCGGAAGGGGATGGTCACTTTACAGTCACCACTGCTCCAGGCCCATACCCTTCTTAGGATCAGCGGTCACACCGATGGAACAAATGGTATACACTCGGACAACAGGGGGGTATGGGAAAAGAGGAGCATGGGCTAGCCCAGCCCTGCTTCTCACTGACTGAACCTGGCGGCTGCTCCTGCCTGTCTAAGCTCCAGCTTCCCAAGTGCGGTGAACACTCCAATCAACAAATCCAAACGTCATCTACTGAGGGACCCATACTGTGAAGCGCTCTCACAACAGAGACAGACTTTAAAATCAGTTATGCTGGACAGATATTAAATAAAGGACACCGTTTATAAAGAAGCAACTATGATAGTAACATTAAAGTCTGACTATTGTATTATTGTACTTTTTTTTTTAAAGTGTGGGTGGCAGTGCTGGAGACTGAACTCGGACCTCTTGCACACTCTGTAAACAGTCTACCAACCAAGACTCATCCCCAGACCCTTGACGGCCGAGTTAGAAAATACTTCCTCGCTTCCAAGTTAACATCGCTTTTTAGAGTGACTCCTCTGAATTTGCTCAGCTGTAATATAAACAGGGAGCACTAATCAAGAAATCAATTTTCGTTTTTAAAGAATCTCCTATAAGGGGCTGACAGGTGGCTCAGAGGTTAACAGTGCTTGCCGCTGCACACAAATCTATACGCACGAGAAACACACGGAATTTCAGGCAGAATAAATTCAGTCACTGACACCAAATCACATTATAAGCTACACAAAAACAAAAGGCAAGTAAATCATCACAAAAATCCATCTCAGTTATAAGAATGACAGTGGGCTTCTCTTTGAAGCTACGGAGGCAGTGGGATAACATTCTTCAATACATGGCATAAGGCTGTCAATCAAGAATACTATACCCAGAAAAACTATCCCTCACCAATGAAGGGCGGGCAGGATAGCTTTGGAAGTAAGGGCACCTGCCACAAAGTCTGATGACCTGAGTTTGATCCCCAGAACCCACATGGTGGGGGAGAGAACTGACTTCTGCCAGTTGTCCTCTGACCTCCACACCGTTCTCCCAATCCCACACACAAAGAAGTGAAAACTGAGTTGCTACTACTCATGCCCACGATTCCCCTTCAGCAACCTGCAAACCTTTCTCAGTCAATCAATCAATCAATCAATCAATCAATCAATCAATGATAAATCCAGTGACTCTCAGATAAACAAGTGTGTTGGCTTGGATGACAAAAGGCATATTCATTCTATTTGATAAGCAGGCTGATGTATACATGTGGGTGTCAGGTAGCTATGGAGTGCCTCAAACTCCTGTATCTTGCCCTGAGTGGTGACTGCATATTTATCTCGTGACAGCTCACTGAATGTTTCATTTCCATTTTGTGCATTCAGCTTTCTCTGTGGCCTTCATCACATTAATGGAATAAATGAGGGGAACCTTCCTCATCAAAAGCACCGAAAGTTCTTGCAAACTGAAAGGATTCACTATAAAAGGAAATGTTAACCTTGAAGCCGAGAAGTATTTTTGTAGAACAATTTAATAGTCAGACTTCAAGAATGCTTGATAGAAAGTTCTGGTAAGCAGAGAAATAGAAACGATTTAGGGACAACCAGTCCTTTCTGGGCTGTAATTATTTTACCTTATGATTAATATTAGCAGAGAACATATTATGATAAAAATTTTGACAGCTCAAATCACACCTAAATTAAGGAACTCATGATCCTATTCTGAGTGCCGTACGATGCTTCTGAAGCCACACCAAGAAACTCATCAGTTCACATCAAACACAACAGGTTTCTCACACCCAAAGCACAGTTTTCCTTGGTCCTCACATTCAAACTCTGCGTGAGGTCTCTCATTTCTGCAACTCATTGCCGGTATTTATCTTGTCACTTATCACTTTTGTCTCTAGTGTGAAAAAAATCTCACCAGCATTGTAAAGGGGAGGGCGGGGTACCTGGGCGAGACAGGAAGGCTCCCTGTGCCATGAAAGCGCCCCACAAACCTGAAAGAGGAAGGCGTCACCCAGGGAGTTGCTGAGGCAGAAGACGAAGTCCTTCTTGGGGTGCTCGGGCACAGCCTGCACAATGCTGTTCTCCACCCAGACAGCGTGCTTGGGGACACTGTTGTGGTCGATCCCAGACCTGCCGTCGCTCTCGTAGAAAAAGAGCGTGCAACCTGAGGAGACAGACAGAACAGGGTCTGTGTGAGTATTTAGTGCTCAGCCAATGACAGGCATCTAAGGGAAACTGACACGAGTCATCAGGACAGGGCTGGGCACTAGAGTGTGCGGGAGCCCGCAGGGTAAAGAAAACAGGGTGTTTCTTGCAATCAGGTCTTTGATGGGCGCATGGAAAAATAAAGATCTTGAGTTATAGCATCCCAACTAGTAAAGAGGTTCTCCAAGTTCTTAGAGTCCTACCCTCTGTGTCAGAACGTTTTCTTGTAAGCATCCTTGTAGGCGGGCGTGCGGGCATACACTGTTATGAAATAGAGTAGCTGTTTGACTATGTCAAGATGTGTTGCTGTTTCCCCGGGCCTGCCTAAGGCACCTGGTCGGTCCAGTAAAAAGCTGAACGGCCAATAGCAAAGCAAAAGAGGATAGGTGGGGTTGATGGGCAGAGAGTAAGAAGAGGGATGAATCTAGAGAGAAAGAGAGGGAGACACCAGGGGCCAGCCAACCAGGCAGCTGCCAGTCAGACAGACAGGAGGAAGCAGGAAAGGAGGACATACAGAAGGAAAGAAGAGCAAAAAGCCCCAAGGCAAAATGGAGATGAAGAGAAACAGGTTAAATTAAGTTAGAAGAGCTGGCTAGAAATGAGCCTAAGCTAAGGCTGAACATTCCTAATGAATACGTCTCCAGTCATGATCTGGTGGTATGAGAAAGCCTGCTACAATACACCTGTAATCTCAGCACTCGGGAGGCAGAGGCAGGGGGATCTCTGTCAGTTTCAGGCTAGCCTAGTTTACATACAGAGTTCCAAGCCAGCCAGGGATCCTGTCTTTTCCCTCAAATAATTACAGACTTGGGGGTCACCCAAGCCCAGTGGTGACTATAAATACAGCTCTATAGCCTCCCCCAGGGTAGCACTATCAGGATGTGAAGGCAGACACTTCCCTTGGAGCTTACTCCTCGACAGCCTCCTGTGATATTCAGCCAGGAAACCCAAAATATATACATTTTATTTTTGGATCTGGGCCCTTGGAGAAAACAGTAGTACTGGTTTATAGAAAAGATGCATTTCTGACCTCAGATACAATCTTTATTTTTTTTCCCCTAGAATAAAACTATGGCCTTGTGCTTTCTGAAACAGGAAGTGTATGGCGCTCCCAGGAAGGTCTTAGGGGCCGGGCGGCGGTGGTGGCGCACGCCTTTAATCCCAGCACTCGGGAGGCAGAGCCAGGCGGATCTCTGTGAGTTCGAGGCCAGCCTGGGCTACCAAGTGAATCCCAGGAAAGACGCAAAGCTACACAGAGGAACCCTGTCTCAAAAAAAAAAAAAAAAAAAAAAAAAAAAAAACCAGGAAGGTCTTAGGGAAGCCAGGACCTTGGCCCATCTTTTAACTGGACCGGGAAACAGTGAGACAGCAGCAATAGAAACACTTTGTAAGTTTGTGAAGCAGCATCTTCACTGCCAGAACTCGAAGCTCACTAAAATAGCAAGTCCTAACTGAACTTAACATACTCTCAACTGGTCCACGGCTCTGGGCTGGACAACTACAGAACTTAACACATATCAAATCCTCAACTGGTCCACGGCTCTGGGCTGGACAACTACAGCACTCATCCCCAACTTCCATACAAGCTTTTTGGTCCATTTCAGCCATCTCCTTATTCCAAGCCAAAACCAAACCTTATAGGAATTACAACAACACCCTTGAAAGCACAATGCACTTGGGTACAACAGGAATCTAAACTGGCCACGTGTGATGGAGAAAGAAGAAAAGCCATTTCCATAGGCACACCGCTGGAAAAGGCACACTGGTTAAAAGGCAACTCCCCTCCCTGTACCATTTCATGGCACCATGTAACCCTGCTGACAGCACCATCTCAAGCAAAGGCAATCTGGGTAATATTCTCTCATTCTCTCTCTCTCTCTCTCTCTCTCTCTCTCTCTCTCTCACACACACACACACACACACACACACACACACAGAGTTTTTTTTTAGAGGCCAGTGAGGTGGCTCAGAGGGTTACATCTTTAAACACACAAACACAGTGAACTAGGTTCAATTCCCGGAACACACAGAAAGATAAAAGGAGAGAAACAACTCCATAAAGTTCTCCGACTGCCACTAGCACTGTGCCCAAATATATACGTAACAGTTGAAAAAAAAATATCATATATAATTACGAAGTCTTCTTTATACTTAATTCCTTAAGCATTTGCTATATCATTAAATATTACTTGAAAATGCCAATTTTGATAGGAGCCTGCCATTAGCTATAGTTAAACCAAAATCTATATATAAGCCGGGCAGTGGTGGCGCACGCCTTTAATCCCAGCACTTGGGAGGCAGAGGTAGGCAGATCTCTGTGAGTTCGAGGCCAGCCTGGGCTACAGAGTGAGTTCTAGGAAAGGTGCCAAAGCTACACAGAGAAACTCTGTCTCGAAAATCCAAAACAAAACAAAATCTATATATATAAATTGAAATATATGCTACCAACTCTCCTGTCTCAGTTCTATTCTTTTCATAATCCCTAAGATTCTGAAGACTTCAAGGTTTCTGAGGAAAATCCAAAAAGGGAGATTACTGGTCATCTCTCATTTCCATGGACTAAAGTGGCTCACACATTAGAATAAAATGTAGGTGACTGAAATTGGACTTTATTCATTTCCAACTCGTTCCATTTGTAAGACTAACATGAAGAAACAAATCCAAGAACCTCACACTCTGATAACAGTCTGCCTGTCCTGATCTTCACTTGAACTTGACCTTTAGGTTAGTAGGCTGTGGACGGCATCACTCCAGAGACTAATTCTAGAAGTCTTTGAAAAAGAGATCTTTTCTTCTACCCCAGAGTTCCCGGGTGTGGTTTTTCTCCTAACCCAACAGCCAAGGGCTGCTAAGAAAAACGTCAGCAGCTTCTGAGTGGAAAGAGCAAAGCTCTGAGTATGTCAACAGAAGACAGGAACCTGTCAGGATTCAGATGTGCAGGGCTTGGTGGCTCCTGCCAAGCTGTGTCGCCCAGATCTGGGTCACTGGGACAATCTGATGGCTCCCTCCTCTCGTGGGCTGCTCGATGCCCATGCTATGACTTCCTGTCTCACTTATTCTCTGAGGAAAAGGCACAAACAAAACAGCCACCTCTGCTATGGCCCAAGTAAAAAGAGTCACCTCATTATTTTCATTCTATACCAAGAAGTGCTGTTCTCAACATGAGGTAAGAAGAGTCTCGGATGCTTGGTTAAGCCACAAATCCAGGGCCTTCTCACGAGTAAAATCATCCCCCTACATCTCCACACTAAGTCCTAACCCTCATTCTTCAGATGGGGCCATATTTGGAAACACAGTTTTTAAAGGGGCGGTTAAGGGTAAAGGGTGGTCATATGAGTGTCCCTTAATCTAACGACTGGTGTCCTATCAAACGAACACTGGACATAGCCATTATTGAAGGAAGAACACGTGCTGAGACCCAAAGCAGCCAGCCACTGCCACATCAAGGCGTAAGGCCTCAAAGGAAGCCAACCCAGTCAGCACCTCTACTTCAGGCTGCCAGCTGTGAGAGGAGAAAGTTCTGTTGTTGGAGACCTCTGGTGTGTGGTCCTGTGTCATGGCAGTCCAAGCCTGCTGAAAAAGGACCTTTATGGTTCAGTAAGCAGGAAGCACAACACAGAAAGCATCATAGCAACTGGGATGCAGGTGGTCCTCATGTCAGGCTTTCAAGCACTCAGCAGTAATTAATAACATGAATGAAGGCGTATGGTGGGGAAGCACTTTCCTCCGAGGGAGAAAACATTGTATCTTGCCGGGAAGCTGGTTAAGTCTCAGTGTGTTCTTGAGCGGGGATGGAAACTGCCATCCTTCAAGGAAGCTTCTGGAAACTCAGCAAGTAAACAACTCAAACCTCCCGGAAGTCCCTGAAACTGACCAGATGCACTAGGCCCTTTCCTCCCCAAATGTACATAAATAGCAAACACCACTGAGACTCTCAGACAAGCCGGGTCCCGTGCAGGAGGTTGAGCTGTCTGAAGAAGCGGAGACTGGCCGCGCTACCCGCAGGGGCCCAGGGCCACTGAGCTGCCTGGGAAGAGAACCTCCCCTGCCTGTTCAGCTCCCTACAAGCTGTGTAGGAAGCAGCAGAGCTCTGGCCCTCAGGAGCCGACACCCACGCTGGGGTGGGCTTTTGGTGACCCTCCCCCAGAGTCTGGTAAAGAACCCCAACAAACTCATTAGTTCAAGCTCAGCTTTGGTGCTATCCTTACCAATTGTCAATTCCCTGCCAGGGTCAAGCAGATGTTTGTTAATGTCTCCCCAGGAAGTCCCCCAACTAAAGGAACAGGAGATGTGTACCTCAGTGCGGGGGAAGGAGGGGGGGGAGGATTTCTTTCTTCTCCAACTCATCCCATCATAGCAGAACCAAGGGCATGACGGGGCCTCTACATGCAACCCCATGGCACTTCTCCAAACAAAGCCAAGGAGGCGGTGGGTGAGACAGGCCAGTACAGCGTCCCAAAGCATCCCCACGGGCTAAACACCTTGCTGTATAAGCATGACCCCACACCACATGAACAATGATGTCCTGGAGTAACCGAGCAACAAGACGGACAACCTGGGCCTCCGGTGACCTCACGGAAAGAGTCACCACCCAAGCTTTAGGGGGTAGTTCTGTCCAGCTCTGTTGTTGTCCTTCCCATCAGGGGCGTCTGTGATACAGAGCAGAATCTACACCCGAACCAGGCACAGAGGTTCCTATTTCCCCAGCCACCAAAACAAACAAAACGAAACAAGCAAACAAAGCCAGGTACCCCACCAGTAACGGGGGCCCACACATCTGCTGATTGTCTTCAGGGGCAATCTGCACACACTCACCGCTCAGGCATACACTAGTCTCACTGAGTAGATGGAGCGCTGGGCAGATCCAGGCCTCCACTGTAGGACGTACCCGCACCGGCCTCAGCTGGTGAGAACCAAAGTCAAACGATCTGGGATCTGCACCATTAGCTGATCGGACCTGGCTTCTTTCTTCTGTGTGTTACCTGTCTGACCCACTCACCCCCCACCCCATCTCAAAACTAGCTTTGTAACAAAAACTCTAAATGTACAGGAGTAATGTTTTTCTTTCTATAACATGGTTCTCACAAAGGAATTACAAGGTCTCCAGGACAGAGACCCACACAGGGCTGGGTGGTGGCCGAGTGCCCACTGTTCACGCACACACAGGCCCCTTCAGGAAAGGCAGCCAAATGCCAACAAATAGCTACATGTAAGCGCTAAGCTTCTTTGAGAGGCAAGTAGAGTGGTACCTACATGTCTGCTGTGTTCACAGCCAAGGGTACTCCAATATACACAGCTAAACTCTGAAACAGTGACTTATTCAGAAACTAATGATGCTTTAGACATTCCATTTGCATCAGGCTCAAGCCTGTAAAATTAGTGATATTCTACCACTTAAACCATCAGCCATTTCACTGGATTAAAGTTAGAGATTCTCCTCTCTATGACAATCGCTGTGTGAGATATAAACCCAAAACAAAATTTTGGAGGGGAACTCATTTCAAAATTGGCCATCAGAACCAGTAGTCTATGAGAACATTGGACCTGACATGTTCTCCTCACTTGTGGTGGTGGCTTTTAAATGTCAATTTGCCATAACCTAGAATCACCTGGGAAGAGAGTCTCAACTAGGCCATCGTCTTTATCAGGTTGGTTTATGAGCATGTCTAGGGGAGACTGTCTTGATTGCTAACTGATGAAGAAAGACCCAGCCCACTGTGAGCAGCACTATTCCCTAGGCAGAGGGTGGTGAACTGTACAAGATGGGGAAAACTCGCTGAGAGCAAGCAAAAGCAGGCAGAATGGGTACATTCATTTCTCTCTGTTTTTGACTGTGGATTGTGGTGATATATTGTGTACCCAAATAAACCTGCCTGAGGATCAGAGGACAGAGCCAGCCACAAGTTCTTAACTCTACGAAATCCTCAGCCTAAAGAGAGTGATTTCCTGTTTCCTCACACCTTATATACCTTTCCATACCCTGCCATATTACTTCCTGGGATTAAAGACATGTATCACCAATGCCTGGCTTTCTTTCTCTCCTATACTGGATCAAACTCATGTAGCCCAGTGTGGCCTTGAACTCACAGAGATGGATCTCTGTCTCCTGAGTGATGGGATTAAAGGTGTGTGCCACCATTGCCTGGCCTCTACGTCTAATCTAGTGGCTGGCTCTGTCCTCTGATCCTCAGGTAAGCTTTGGGGTACACAGTATATCACCACAGTGGATGCGATGTTATGTGACTAGTTGCACGGGTTCTTGCCTTGCCTTTCCCTAAATGGTAGATTGTTACTTGAAATTATGATGACTTTGGTTGGGCTATTTTATCACATCAACAGACGTGAAACCAAGACAACCACGAAGTTCAGGAAACAAGGAATGGTATTACGCAGGGGTGAGGAACACGCCAAGAGAGTTCCTGAATAAGAGACACGAAGCTTCCGTTTGTCAGAAGAATAAGTTCTAGAGGCCAGCCCACAATGTTGCACACAGAGTCAACAACGCCACATCATATATTTAAAAAGTGGTAAGTAGCCAGGTGTGGTGGCAGGTACCTATAATCCCAGCTACCCCTGAGGCTGAGGCAGGGTGATTACCAGGTCAAGTCCAGCCTGGGCAACCTGGTACCTCACAACAAATATGAAAATACAAAGAGCTATAGGGGTGTAACACAGAGCTAGGGTACTTATGCAACTCACACACTATGTGAGAGCCCCTGGTTCTGATTCCTAGTATTGAAAACAAGAGACAGAAAAAGAAAATTAAATCCCAAACCAGATCTTTCGGGTCCTCTGTGATGGCCCTTATCTCCACCATTCTCATCCCAGGATTTAATTTTTTTTTTTAAAGTACATCTAATGTGTTTCTACCACAGTAGACTATGTTCTAGATATACAATTATGAAATATTTCATAACTGTACCTGTGGAATGCACGCAGCTGGGCCAGCCTCCCTTACCTTTCAGGGACACCCAGTAATGCTTCCACTTCCTCCGGGTGGCAGACTCCACCTTCTTATTCTTCTTGTGTACCAGGAAGTTCTTGACGGCCAGCGCGCCAGCCTTGCGCACGGTGCCCTGCGCGGCCGTCAACAGGATGTCCGACTGGCCCGGGGAGCTGAGGGTGCCGCTGCTCTGCTCGTCGCTGTGCGCGGAGCCCGCCTCCTCCAGGCTCTCGCTGTTCGTGGTGCTCATCTCCAGTTCCCGCCTGAAGTTCTCGTACACCCCCTGGCGCGCGGCATCCCCCGTGGAACTGCTGCCGCTGTCGCTGCCCACGAAGGCTCGGCCGGTGGGGGGTGAGTAGCTGGAGTTGGTGGCATTAGATCGCCTGGACAGGAGGTCCGTGTCGGTGGTGGCCCCTTCGATCCCACTGTCTGCAAATTCGCTGCCCTCGCCCGTGTTAACATCCTTAGGACGAGAAAGGGAGAGAGAAGCAGACATGCATCACGCGCGCGGAAGGAACTTGGGAGCACTTGGTCCAGCCTGGGGCTCTGCAGCAGAAAAAGGCCCACCGGGCTCCTCTGTTGCTGGACCGATCCCTCCTCCCGCCAGCGCACTGCAGGACGGCTCGGCGAAACAGACCCTCCGCCACCCCAAATGCAGCCTAATGATTCAGAATGTTCAAGAAATATAAAAGGCACAGGGAACACTTCAAAGAGCTTATCGTTTATCTGACTTAATTAGCTAATTGGCAAACCAGCTATTGAGATTCTACCACCACCATGCTGAGGGAGCTCAGAGCCCTCAGCCACCTCAGCTGGCCTTGAACTCCGAGATATTAAGCAGACCAATTAGTTGGCTGTTCTGGAGGTTGGGGTTACAATACATAACTAGATCTTTACAGCTGATACTTAAAAAAAAAATAAAATAAAGGGCCTGATTGGGAGTCTATATTATAATGGGGTGACTAAATAGATTGCTAGCACACCCACTCACCCAGCAAGGCCCCATATCCCCAAGAGCAGGCAAGAGTCCTCATGCCCTAATCAGCCCGGCTTCCGGAAAACAGCCTTTCCCTCTGCATTGTGCTAAATCGGCCCGTGGGGCCCACAGCTCCCAGGCCCCTCTCCAGTTACTTTGCCCTTTCAGAGCTGGGGTGGAAGGAGCCTGAAGTAGGCAACTCACCACCCTGGGCTGAGTGACAGAGCCGGACAACTGCCAAGACGCTGGGGTATCAATTCCCCGTGGAAAAGGGTTTGAAATTTCCAGAGCTGACCCTGTACCCCAGGAGACTATTTCCGGGTCACTGAGGTAGGTTCTGAAGTCAGAATCTCAATTGCTCTGAAGTACTACAGGTATTTGCATAAACAATAATTAGAGGATGGTAGTAATCCAGGGGAGACAATGATAACAGCATGGGACTTGCGAGCTTGAAGGATGAGAAACGAGACTGATTCTTCTCAAAGGAAGACAATAGGACCTGAGTGTGACACAGGGGTAAGGCAAAGCCGTGCACAGACTGGCAGTTTGGCCAGCCTGGGGGCACCATCAGTCTCACTAATAAGTAACGGTGGTCAACACGTGTCAAAGCTAAATGCATACTCTGAACCACCACAAAAACGAATACTCCGAACTTAAATCTGTGCTGGGAGGCAATGGGGCAGACTTAGTCATACCATAGCTAAGACTGTGCCGCCACACCGGGCCCAAATAAGTACCATGCCTCTGTCTCAGTTCACAGTTCGCGGTTATAAAAAACCTCGGAGAGTAACAATATGCTCAGGAAGGCGCGGTGGGTCAGAGGCGGCAGCCATAGATGCGCAGGCTACCAAGCTTCAGCTCCATTCCCGATGGAGTTCGGATCCCTGGCAGGAGAAAGGACGTGTGGGAGACAAAGCCATCGCAGAGGCAGCTGAGATCAAACCCTGTATCAAACCCTGTATTGTGTTTAGCTCCAGTTTGTTCTCCAAGGGTCTGAGAGTTGGAAGCTTGGTCCCCAGCACAGCAGAGCTGGGGGGAGGTAGAACCCTTAAGAGCTGGAATTCACACACAGGAAGGAAACTGAAAAAGAAGTGGAGGGGAGGGGAAGGTGGGGCCTCATGGGAGGTATTTAGGTCATTGTGTGTGTATGTGTGTGTGTGTGGGGGGGAGGGTCTTACCCTTGGGAACCACCAACGCTGGTCTTCGGAATCGATTCCTGCAAGAGTGAACTGCTAGAGAAGTCCTGGTCCCCTCAGTCTCTACCACTCCCCATCTGACCACGCAATCGCTCCCTCTCAGATAGACTCCCACGGTGACGCTCTGTGCCAAAAAGACCTCAACAACGCCAGCGGAGGCTGGAACCAAGTTCCTGGACGTCCCTGACTAAGCTAAATCCATGTCTTTTCTTTACAAATTAAGTAGCCTGGGGCATTTCATTATGGCAGTGGGAAACAGACCAACAGACCCTGTGCCTGCTGGCTCTACTGCTTTGTTTTCTGTTCTTCTGCCTAATAACAGCCATGGAGGGTCACAAAGGACCCAGATTCCGTTAGTAAAAGATCCACTACACAAACAAAAAAGCAGCATTATCAACCCACATGGCTCTCTGGCAGGGACATTTACCATATGTGTCCCTGTGGATGTTAAGACAATAAGGAAAGCTGACAATCTTTAGATAACCAAAAGCCGTGGAGGACAAGAAATCTGTGAATTTCTTCGATTTGATTTCCATGGGTCTGTAAGTCCTCGGAAGACAGCTGGACCTGTATATTTGTTGCTGTTTTTCTATTGCTGTGATACATAACCAAGGCCATGTACAGAAGAAGGGGTTTATTTGGACCCATGGTTCCAGACAGATAAGACTCCATCAAGTTCAGGAAAGGTGGCAGCGAGTAGCAGTCATGGTCGCTGGGACAGATGCTGAGGGTTCACATCTTAAACCGCAACAAAGAAGCCAAGAGAATGAACCTGGGATGGTCTTGAACACTCGAAGCTCACAGTGACACACCTCCTCCAACAAGGCCACACCCCCAACTGGGGACAAAGTATTCAAATGTCTGAGACTATGGGGGAGATTTCACTCAAAACTACCACAGAAATGTATGAAGGAACTAGCTGTAACCACCCTGAGAAGCCACACAGGCAATATCCTCCACAGGAACGACTTCAGTCCAAAGAAGAAAAGAGATGACGCCACACCTCTGAGAATTCCCAGAGTCCTTGAACAGGAAGGAACCTTCCAGAACCATTTCCTTCACTAACAGCTAGGCACACGAGGGCTCGGAAAGTCCTAACTCTGGTTAGTGGCAGATGGGAGGTTTGAACTCATGCTGCTGAGAGCCTTTCCCACTGTGGAGCAGGGCAACCCTGTAGCTCAGCTGTGGGAACAGCCTGTGACCAGAGTTTTGCCTGCATTATTCAACTCCATCCTTCCCCACTTGGTTTAATGTATCTCCAGTTTTCTCTGGAAAAGGCTGAGGGAATTGCTGGTCTGTTTGTTTTAACCTGCACAGCAAACAGCTAAAAGCCAACAGTGGAAGGAAGCAGAAGAGCTATAAAGAGGACAATGGGACGCAGAGGGTGAGAGCTGGCCGGACAGCTCTCAATGCCTATCTTTTACAGTTTACAACAAGCCTACCAACCATTCCCTCCTGTCCAGACCTCCTTGCTTCCACCTACGCCAAGTGTTCAGGTAAGGAAGGACTCTAGGGACACTCACCTCTATGTCACACCTGGACATCTGCTCATGCCAACTGAAGCTGCAAACTTGCAACGGCCCAGGTGGTGTGTGTTCAGCTCGGCGATGGTCACCAGATTGAGCCAAGATGAGATTGCTCCAGGTAGGAAGACTGTGGGCCCCAGCTCAGCTCACAGACTTTCAGGGCACATGGCTCAGTGTAATCGCTGGGGAGTGTCCTTGGATCTGCCCAAGACACACCACCTCATCCCAGACGTAGCTAATTGGGCTCAGTAGCACACATTCCCCTCAATGTGACCTAACCCATTGGGAAATAGATGTCAGCTGCCCTGCTCCAACCCCTACTTAGTCAAGATGCTTGGGCTGTCCCAGATAGCCTGAAGCCCATGCCCTAGCACTGTGGATGATGGGGTCAATAAAGCCAGAGACATTGCGCAATACTCTTCTCTCTTTCCCTCGCTGTGACGCAAACCTTCCTTGTGGCCATCTTTTGGAAGGGCTCTTCCTGCCCTTCTCGGTCTCTAGGCAATTTCACAACTGAGAAACCTGATCCTCCCCACATGGAGAAGTACCTAGCAACCTCCAGACTCTTCCCTGCAGCTAGAAGACTGACCCCAGGAAGGAATGCCTGGAGGCCATGCAGTCTTCTATAACATCAAGGTTCCTTCTCACCTAACTCAACACCTCAGCATCTGCTCTCTGCCAGCCTATTTAGCCAAATACTAAATTTTAATTTCAAAAATCAGAGGAGGGCTGGGGAGATGGGTTCGAGGTGAAATGAAGCGTCTGCCATGCAATTACGAGGATCAGCCTTGGACACCAACCAACCTCCGTCAACGTCAAGTGGGAGGCGCACTCACTGGCAATTCCAGTCTGACACAGACACACAGACACACACACATGCACACACCCACATATGTACGCCCACTCACACTTGCATCCATACGTGCGAAAACATGTCTACACACATACACGCATACCACATGCATACGCATGAAAAATCCACTGGCGATCTAGGGGCAGGGCTCAGTGATGGAGGGCTGCCTAGCCCTTGTGAGGCCCCCGGGACCCCCCAGCAGGGACCAGACAAGAAGAGTGTAGCAGAGGAGATCAAAGGAAGTGGGAAGACCCTAGCCAGATGAAAATAACTCCCTGGAGAGCGCACGATCTGGCTGAGACTTCTGCAAATCAGCTCCAAGTCACAGCCCCTACTAGAAATGCTGCATGGAAGAGCTCTCCAGTTCCGAGCAACATCCAAAGGGCAGGGGTGTCCTTACATCTCACTCTCTCAAGACAAATGCCCCCAACCAGCTAGCTCCCATTCCACTGGCAACTTTCCAAAAAGGGTGCCTGTGCTTCCCTACTGGGTGCGCAGGAATCCAGCTGTAGCTCATAGCATACTGCAAGCGGCCAGGCAAGGGCCAGCCTGGGGCCCCTTAAGCTGTAAATGAGTTCCTGTACTGAAATTTCAAGAGGCAAAACCAAAGCCTATTCCTACTCCCTTAAAAACCAGAATCACCAACATGGAGAAAATATGGACTGGTGACGCCTTGTAGCAAGGCTCTGTCTGGGTCTTTGCCCAGCAGACTTACAAAGAATCCAAGGGAACAGCTAGCTCCCTGCGCGCGGGTGCAGAACCAATTTTGAAAAGCTAATTAGCCACAAAGTGCAAGGGCCCTGTGACAATTCAGAAAGCAGCAAAATCAATTGGCCACTTGTAGCTAGAAGTAGAATGCAATCAGAAACTGTTTTTCTTGGTCAGGTTAATTTCCCTGATGGATCTAGCTTA